ACACAAGTGTAGCAAAGAAAACGAAAAATTTCAAAAGTATCACTGCGAAAAATTTAACAAAGCACTGTTTTAGTGAATAACGGCCACTAATTGAGGTCACTGACCGAGCCCGGTACAGCCGATCAACTTAATCGACGTTTAGTTGCGAATTCGTTCAGCATGCGATTGTAATTGGCTCGGAAAATCAATATAAGGCAACACAAACCAACAAGCGAAGTAACTATGACGTCATCAGTCCAATTGGTACGCATTTAATCTGGTGGAATGATAATGACTAACAATCAAATCGTGTACGATGCTTCATCTGTTTGAAATCGAACAGCTCAGATGGAAAGAACTAATTTCGCGAAACAGCCAGTCAGACTGTTACTTATCGATTTTTCCGAAAACGATTTGTTCGATGACCTTTGTCCATCCAGCTGCTTTTGCACAGGCCATCCAAATCGCTGTCTCACTGACGGAAACAGTTTGCCACAACTATTACACCTCAGACGGACATTGGGCCAGAATTTGGTAAGTATTCCGTTATGATTTCTTGACATGTACTATGGAACAAATATTGTTGTATAATTCAATTGTTTAAATCATTAGCTCTGGATAGTGATAATCAATGTACGGTGTGATTGTGTATATAGAGTTCTATTGTTTATCATACAAGTTACGAATTTCACCACTCTAAGTAAAATCGAATCATCTACGGTGTTATTATGATCACAAGACTATATGTATCGTATTGTTGAGCGTTTAGTCAAGTCAAGCAAGTATTACGATTGTGTAGGGCGATGTATGATGTTTAGGAACTCAAAATGCTTTTCTGGATGGATGGGGGGGCGATCCAACCTCTCTGGTGTCATTAGTCACACCTTCACGTAAATGTGTCCTGCATTGTATTGTAATTGAACAAAGTGTAGTGTATTATATTGAAGCTTTAGTAAGTTATATACAAGCATTCTATCAGAAAGAGATCACCGTCACAATACTGGCAAAAAAGCGAGAAGCGTGGGATATCAAACGTGCAAAAACATGAATAACCTACTAAGTGCAATCGAAAGCTCAGAATGAACACTTTTCTTGTCAGTCTGTACACGGGCAAGGTAAGACAGCAAACAGTTTATGTATCCAAATATCCAAGATAGGATAAGTTTGTATTTAGAAACGGAGGAGAGGTGGGATTTACATGGGCACAAGTCAGTGTGTACAGAGGATGGACGCAATCGGATAGGATATTGTCAGCAAACTTCAAGCACGCATCACTATGAGCATTGCGCATATTGTCAATCAGAACGGACAGCGAAACTTGGAAGTTATGGCTGATCATTGAGAGGTCACGCCTCAGCAACTTGAAATCGGCCTTCGGCATACTTGGGGAAATTACAGGGAAGGAGTAAAGGGAAGAACACATTGTTGAACAAATGCTTCTATCATCGAAAAATCAGAATAGAAAAGGTGCAGTTTTCTCATCTGAAAGGAGAGAACTTTGAGCTTGCGAACAATCGTTTGGGTATGCAAAGACAATCGAAGGTTAAGTTCAAGTGTGACACCTAAGTACTTCACATGAATGATCTTGATAATTGACTTTCCTTGAATCGGTTCATTGTCGGAGGGTGATGAGGAACGGTTTAAAGTAAAAATACATTTGAAGCATTTTCTGGGATTCGGATTAAGACCGGATGAAGTGGAATATGAAACGAGGTGGGATTGGTTTGTGTGTTATGTGCTGCCAGTTCTGATTGATTATAAAGCGAAACAGAGATGGCAATATCATCAGTATACTTAAAATTTTGGTCAGTTTAGATGCAATCAAATTAGTTCTGTTAAGGCTATCACACGTTTTGAGGGTTGTCTGGGCGGTTTAGTCAATCTGTGAAATGAATCAGTGACAAGTAGTATGTGCTGGAGAACTGATCAACGCCCTTATTTAAACCAAACTGTTCAGCTATGAATACTACCGTGGTCAGTATGCTCATTACATGTAAACTCTATTACGTGTGTGTGTGTGCAATTATTTGACTACTGCACTATTCGGCAACTTCAAGTCAACAAACTGTGGTTCTTTACGCGACCGGGTGCGTCCCTAGGTCACGGTGGCTGATTGTGAATGGATACATAGTGCAAGTGAATAATAGAAGATTTGTTTCAATTTCAAAGGTGTTTTCGTCGAGTATATAGCAAATGAAGCGTGAACTGAAAGGCTAGGAAGCACTGGACAGCTGTTTCGACTTGGTTGGGTCTCATCAGCAGTGCGAATCCAACCCAACTGGGATACATATTACTTCACTGACCAAGAGGTCTGGGACGACCAACGGTGGTGACTGAGGACGAGACGGTTTATCGCTTGGCACATGAACTCCCGCTGACCAGCCACTGAATAAGGCCATCACCACCATCACCCGGTTACCACGCGGATCGAACCTGTTCTTTTTTGAGCTAGACGGGGATCTTTGAGATCAAACACCGAATGACACTCATGATGTGCGATGTTCAGCATTTGTAATAGGAATTTCAGCTGGTCGTGCTGCGCGCCGAAGGACTCCACCCGAACTAAAGTGTAATCAGAAATCAAAGGCAGACCAAAAGAAAGTCGGGTTATAACGCTACTGTATTATTACATGCATGTAATCGATTATACAATAAACAAATATGTGTTTTCCCTGTGCAGCCACTATTAAATCCTTTACGAATATCTACGCCAACACTGAACGACGCGCAACCTCAGCGGATAAGTCCGACTGCTCTGGAGGTTTGTTCGACTCCAAACACTGGCGAATAATGATATAGTACTGTAAATATGAAGCGTTACAAATGCATTTTATTGGCCGTAGTTATCGTAAAAATAATTTAATCGTTATTGTTATTGCCTGTGTTCTATCACTCCATCCAGTACCAGATAGGTTATCTATTGCATGGCCTAACGGTTCTTAGCCTGCTCTAATGTGATCTACTCCAGGTTTGAGCCCACTCCATGGATCGCAATGAGGCACGAAGATTCTCGGAAATAGAGTTGTAAATGGTGGTATACCCAGCACTGCCAGCCTTTTTAGTTGAAACTAGACCTCTGGCTTTTACACATCTGAATGCTACCTGCAAATCAACGGGGTTGTTCCAGGCAAATCATTCCTCAGCAGTCCGGTTCCTTCGCTTCTTTTGGAAAGTAGTGGTGAACAGGTGGAACAGTACAGTGACCTTATTAGTAATTAATCGTCAAATTTGTTATGCCACACGGCTGTTTTCAGAAACATTCCGCGTTCTATGGGGGAGGGATGATTTCTAAGCAAAAATCCACCACATCCACCAGTACTACTTCTACTCCTCTGAAGATAGCTTATTCGGTGGGTATGAACCAGGCCCATTCAAGGCTGGCAACTAATTCGGCGACAGTTAATCTTTTCGCCACCTAGAAACGTGACAAGCGCAATGCTACTCCGTTCATAGCATGAGCAGAACCGTGATGGAATACATCAAGTGTGTAACGGAAACGATCACTCGATGAGTAGATTATTCAAACCAAACAGAACACTGGTAGTCCGAGGAACTTACTTTGTAACGATTTCTGTAATGCTAGTGATATCTGAATAAACAATGTAAATAAATGAGTTAATTGTTTGCATAGGTTCGTCTAAACACAACCCAACCAAATAGATCCATCTTCTGAGGTGGAGATCCACAAGGAGATCCAAGTCCTGGGATATCAAAAAAACGTCGGGCTCCGAAGATCTTTCCGGTTCTGTTTAAGGGTGGCGGAATGAATCCTGTTAGAGAACTGCAAGTTCTGTTCTTTTAGGTCCTCTCCTCGGTTGTTGTTCCCAACAGGCTTTGAACCGTTTGGCGGTAGAGGTGTTCAAATATGGAATATGCTTGAATCGTTCACGTACATATTGCTTATGCAAGACTGGCAAGATCCTGTGCCTACACTCGCTCTTTGTGGTATTTAGTTGGCGGTATTTGAAAGCTTCTTGTAGCCCGGGAGGTTAGTCGCAGCTGAGGGTAATGTTAGGGAAGAGATCAAATCACGAATAACGATAGCTAGAGCAACTTTTGCCAACCTGCGACATCTGTGGCTCCACCATGACATCCAAACTGTCCCTTAAGGGAAGTTTGGGCATCACCATAGTTCGTAGTGTTTCGCTTTCCGGTTAGGAGACTTGGCCTCCCTTGATTGAGGATGCTAGTCGAATTTTTGTTCTCAACCACCGATGCCTTCGATTCATTGCTCAGGTTGGGTGGGAACATCGTGTGTGTGCAGTGACGAACTTTGTTGTTGTTAGTCGGTTAGTGATAGTCATGCTTTAGAGGAGGTAATCGCTTTCAACCACCTCCGATGACTCAATTATATTTTGCGTATGTCTGCCATTCGTCTGTCATTCTGTACTCTCTTTGTGTGTGCTGGGCAAGGCTGGAAGAGGCGCAGAGGGGGTCAGCTTATGACCTGGTGTAGAACTATGGAGAAGTTACCCTCAACAATAGTTTCGGTTGGTGCAGCTAACCTTCCAGACTGGGGCCCAAGGGATGAGAATTGCCGATGGCTAGGGAAGCTAAGAGATATGGCCCAGTGACGCGATTGTTATGCAGTTTGTTTCTTGGAAACCTGTTCTCTATGATGGACATAAAATATCCAAATGGGTGCGGTGAAATTAACAAAAATTGTTCGTTTGTTCTTTCTGTTCTCCGTTTTCTATTTATCTGTACCCATTTGTACCATTCATTTTACAATTCTTTGCGTTGGCACCATTGATTGCTCTAAATATTCCTGTTCAATTTCCTGTTATTGAACAACTTCTAATATTTTTCTAATGAAGCGATAATGAGATAAACGCAAGGCCAGGTGTCTTTTGATTGAGTTTTGATTTCATCCAGGACTAGCAAATAATATGTTTAAAAATATTGATCGTCACTCCATATAATTTCCATGTATCACACGTAATGTCCTCACAGTTGCTAACCTGATACGCCAGTTCATCCGTTCCATCTATTCCACTTTATCAAACTTCTACAGACTGACTATGGCGATGCAATATCCGCTGAATACGGTCCAGCCGCAACCAGTCCCCGGCCAACCCCAACCATTGGGTACAGCCCAGACAACTGTGGTGATCACCACACAGCCCGGTCCAGTGCCGGTTTTGACTCCGCTGAAAAACTGGACATGGCGTCTGTTCGACATACCCGACTGTGGTCTATTCGCTATGTCTTGGTTCTGTCCCTGCCTGGTATTTGGCGCTACTGCACAAGCGATTGGTCAATCGTATGTGCTTTGTTGTGTGGCCTACGTGTTCACACTACTCAATGTGTACTTGGTACCAATCCACATTCTGTTGGGCTGTTTCTTTCGCGAACGTGTGCGCAATCGATATCGAATCCGAGGAAACTTGCTATGCGATCTTCTAGCCTATGTGTTTTGCTGTCCGTGTACTCTGAATCAGGAAGCATTACAGGCAGACGCGGAGCAACGTGCCCTAGCTGCGGTTCCCGGTGGCCAGGGCTCAAACGGATTCTCCATTCGTCTCGGATCCCGAGTGATTAGCTTGAATACGGATCGGGCTGCGCAGTCGACAACTACCGTTCCGACAGCAACCGCAGCGACTACTGTCCCCGGACCCAGTGTCCCATTGCTGGCACCGACCATGCCGTACGCGTCCACGGACCCGTCTGTGCAGCAACCGATGATGCCAAGCGTTCCACCACCATATACTGTCAGCCAACAGCTTCCATTGGGATTCGCGGTTTCTCAAACAGCTCCGGCTCATATATAAAATTGTTGGTTGTCTTCAGAATTTACACACTGTCATAATATTTACGAATGGATATAATTAGATTTCTTGTTACAAAACAGAAACACACGATTTCTCCCTCATATTAGTTTGGATGGGGAAATTGTGATCTGACTGCACGGCATAAATACCGCGTTACGCTACTATACTGCTCCTCTGTTCGCCTCATTCAAGTTTTTGCATCTTACTCATGGGTAAATTAATACGGATTTCATAAGATATGGAAAGTGAGAGGAGGCCAGTCAGTAAGATTGAAACTTCACCTTACTTCAGTTTGGGTTAAAAGATATTCTGTTGATCGGAAAACATGTGGTTAGCAGATCGACCAATGGAACGTTCGGGTGGACATAACATTTTCTAATGCTGATAAGCATTCAATAATTGTCCTATTCTTCTCCACTGGCCTATCGATTTGTCACGAAATAACTGCATCATTTTCGCGCTTGCAACATAAACCGACAGCGGACAGATGGTACTACTACTACTAATAATAATAATAATAACAATAATAAAAATAATACGCCATCTTTTCCGTCAAGCTTTGACGAAAACCCACAATCCATTAGCCACAAACTTTAGTCATACCACTGTAGGCGAGTTAGATCAAAAAGTTTCGAAGTAGTCTCAGGTTAACCAGTAGGAAAGCATTTTATTTTGAACAAATGTGGATTTTGTAAAGCTTGTTCAATAAATGATAAAGTGTGGTGATCTTTTGCTACGTAGTTGACCGTTCGTATCGTCTAGCCTTTTGGCGTATCTCATGGGCTACGTTGTTTTCACTGAACCAGTTTTTATTAGCGAACTAAACTATAAAAATGCTTAACTATTATTATTATAATATTATATTGTAATAACTTTTGCAAGCATGAAGCCCACATTTCAGTTAAAAAATGTATAGTTTGGAACAAGGGAGAAAATTAAAATAACAATGTAAAAAGAGATTTAAGTTCCAAAACTGTTAACAAATTCTGTGAAAACCTGTTCTTTGTTAACAAGAATACGTGCTAATGAGAGTACCGTGGAATTACGATAAATGTTTATCCTAGAGGGAACGCAACGATATTGTGATCTAGTTGAGGGATGGGAACAACAGGAAGTTAGGTCAGCGTGTAGCGGATGTGTGGAGTCGATTAGAATCTTATGCGTAAACTTTTCACATGTATTCAAATGACGTCAGCATAGGTTAGTTATCAACTCCTTTAGTGGGATTGAAGAGACACGGCTAGTGATGTTCAATCCACTTCGAAGCAGTCTAAAATCTTTCTTTAGGAGATTAGAGAAAATAGCAGGTGAACAATAAGGTAAAACGGGGAAAACATACCGGTACACAAATTTGGAAATAATTGATTGTGGAATGCAAAACCGACAAAGTTCACGGATATGAAAAGAAAGTCGTCGACGCTTACTGACGATATGTTTAATGTGAGAGGTCCAGTGAATAATAGTATCAATAAAAACACCCAGGTATTTAATACAGTTTACTCGGGGAATGATTCAGAGCCAGTCGATACCGGTTCACGTGGGAAAGAAAAGCGTGAAGAAAAGCGTGTAAAAGAACAGTCGAAACATTTGGAGGGATTAAGAGATANACCGTTGGGCGTTATCCGAGTTGTCAGAAACTTGTGAAAGACCAGAAGAGTCCGAGATGGCCTAACACAAGGTCACATCGTCAGCACACTTGAAGAGAGAATTAGGGGCAAGCAGACAAGTCACTAATATAGAAAATAAGTATGGGGAAAGAACTGCACCTTGGAGTACTCCAGAGCTGTTCAACAACGGTTTGGATTTCTTCCGACCTAACCTGGTACACCGTCTAGGACAACCACAGGTCTCCAGTTTATGAAGAAGAAGGAAACGGGGAATAGAATCAAAAGCGGATGAGTAATCCAGAAACACACAACGGACAGATTTTGCAGTCATTCAAGGACTTGGTAATTTTATGTAAAAGAGAGAAAACTGCATCTAGCGTGCCTCTGTTTGGTTTATAAGCAAACGGAAGAGAATCATATGGGACATCAATGGAGGACTGAATGCGCTTAAGAACAACACATTCTGCTGGCTTAAGTCCAACAGAGGTTAAAGCAATAAGATGAAAGCGTTTGGTTAGAACATTTGGAGTAGAGGATTTGGGAATGGGAACAATTGTAACTGGTTTCCAACAGTCTGGTATGGAACTGGGTTTTAAGGAATTGTTGAAAAATGATGTGAAAATCTCACTAAGAGAATAGGCTCCATATCTCAGAAGGGTAGATGAAAGACCATCTGGACCAACAATGCACGTGGTTTTCACAGTACGCAGAAGTTCAAGAGTTTCTTCATTCGAGACGGCCTCCACTTGAACGACATCGTCCAGAACAAATGGCGTGACCGCATCGCTTGATCGGTGGATAAATGCTGCATTAACACTGTCCAAATCCGTTGTACAATCCGACGTTTTGGATTTGGTTCCACACAGAAATTTGATACCTTGCCAAATTCGCTTACTGTTGTTACATAGCAGAAGCTGGGAGGCGTACGAGGCAGAGAGGCGTTTGATTTCAGCCTTGATCAAGTCGGTGTAATGCTTGACAGCCGCTGAGTTTGTAGATTTGTACGATCGTTCCTTCCGTCTTCTGAATGATTTCAGCAGTGAAGATGCTATTCTGCCGTTACAAACAAATAGAGTTTCAAAAGGGCAGTATAGGTTAAACGTGTGATTAAATGTTCCAATGACTGCATTGCGTAAAGAGGGATAAGAAGAAAACCGCGAAGAAACGACACCAATGGAAAGCCTAAGAAGAAAGGTGTTTCTTCGGGAGAAATTGCGAAGACGAATGGTGATTTGATTGGTTCTTGTGAGTTTATTGTGAATGGGACGGGAGTGGAATGTGGGTCTTATGAGAATCAGTGCATGATCACTAGTGGAAATAGGTGCAGGTGAGTTTTAGGGCAAAATGTTCTGGGTGATTAGTAATAACCTTGTCTAAAAATGAATCAACTCTTGTGGGGGACAAGCAAATATCAGTTAAGCCAAAAGAAGTTATGGGATAGGTGGATGCATGATTAAAGTCACCAACAATGATGTGGAGACTATTGTCTATGAGGGGAACGAAAGACGGAATAAATGCATCAAAGAAAGATGAAATGTGAGACTGGGTACAAAAGGGGGCTGCGTATAAGTTGGTAATGATTGTACTTCTGTATCGCGAAAATCCAGGGAAACATTGAACAGCTAAGTAGTCGATGCCGTCGGAGGAATAATCAAAAGAATTTCAGATTTGCCGCTCCAGGTTGAGTTGATGTACGTGATCACTCCACCTCCTGTTTTCTTCTTACAGTGCTTCTTGTCCTTACGGAAGCATTTAAAATCACTGATTTCAATTAGTGAGTCCTCGACATCATGGTCAAGCCGAGAGTCTTGGATATAAACAACACACGTGTTACGGTGGATGCGTGAATCAAGGGTGCACGTTAGATCCGTCATCTTTGCGAAGGGCAACCGGAAGTTCGTGCTGACCAATGAGGGGACAGTCATTTTCGAGGGTGGTGTGCGAATAAACGCTGCTTGCCAGCCACCGCGCTTGCGTTTCTTCATTTTAGTAGGAATCCGAAAATGAGCCGACGAGGACATGAAAGGTATAGTATTGAGCGGATTATGTTTAAAACTCATTAACTGAGGCCGCGAATAGACCTTCCGAGTGTAGCGCAACCGATCGAAAGGCACGCCAAGGGCGCAACCTGTTGGAATTGCGGGTTTATGTTACAAGATTACGGGTCCAGACTAAAGTAGCCTCATTCTCCGCGTGTCACATGGGTGGAATCGAACAAGCAGAAAGAGCAGTAACACGTGGAAGCATGGTTGAATCAACAGTTTCACATTAATTACATTAATGCATATTAAAATATGCCTCTAACATTTTTTAGATCATGATGAACAACTTCGATTACATCAGTTCAATTGAATCCACCGTGTTTTGCAGATCTTTTACGGTCACGTCATCGATTTCAAATGTACCCCGTCAGTCTTTGCACAGTATACAGGACTGGTCTATATTCTGCGAGAAATTGTGGGCTCAACTGTGCGCTCGTCTCTCCTGAGAATGAACACGCTCGAGGAGACGAATAGTGGTAATAGTTGCTCATTGGGAAGGAGAGCACGGTGACAATATTTAGTTGCATCCTTTTTTAATGATAAGTTGAGCCTGCATGCCTGTGTGCGTGTAATGCTGCTTTCATCAGAGTTGTCTGTACACGACATGATGTGCGAAACAGTAGCGGATGCATGAACACTCAGCGTGCTTCTGTGTACACTCAAATCATTGAATTAACACCGAAGAATGCACTGCGACGTGTGATCGATTGTTAAGCAAACAACTATTTGGGACTATATATTAAGACGATCTCTTTTTTCTCTTTTACAATCGCTTACAGTCCACAAGTAGGCTACTTAGCTATTCTGACAAATTTATTTCTTCCACCGGGAAACTCTGAAAGAAAAAAGTCATTATCATCATCATCATTGAGATATTTATCTGCCCATATATCGCTGATTCACATCAGTGGAAGAACAAAGTACTGGTCTGAGGCTCCGTTACCAGTGAGACCATTTGTGATGGCTCTAAACAAAATGCTTAGTCTGTGCGAATCCATCTGTTTTCAAACATTCGTTGTTTTAGTAAAGTACACAAGAACGCCTGATTTGTGTTTGTTTTTTTGGCTGTTTCTATGATCCAGTGAGCAACACGAATCGGCCAGAGTTTATTATCTCGGCCACGAATCACGTACAAGGGAACGGTACAAGGTGTGACACGAATTCCGTCACGTTCGGTCGAAACTTTGTTCTCCCATGCCCAAATGAGATTATTTCCCTCTCTCTCTCTCCTCTTTCCGATCAGTGTCTGATTGTGCCTGCTGTTGGGGATTTTCCCGGAGTGCGAATCTGCAATGATGCCACAGTTTAATCATGCGCCTAGAGAACCGGTGTTGACGGGTGTTTTCGGCGA